TAAATTTAATCTTCTTTCCAATGGGAAGCTACAGGAAATTCCAGAGTAGTGGCTGGGGAGGGCAGTCACACATTCTCTCCGTTCAACACACACACACACACACATACACACACATATGGATGTGGTCAGTAGTGGGAGGGGATGGATGGGTGTGTGTGCTTGGCGAGGTAACATTGTGCTAGCGGCTGTTGCTTTGTGGGTATGGATGCCATCATAATTCAGGAACTTCTGGCCGAGAGATTGTTGTCTCCCCGAACTCTGACACAGAGGACCTACCCTATGAAACTAAAGGTAACTATTCCAATGGGGAATGCAGCTTGCAGGGAAGGGGTGACTGGATGTTTGCATGCAGATTTGTGCAGACATCTGTCTGTTCTTACTTGTAATAATGTTACCGTGAAAGAACATTAACTCCACCACCGCCAAGTCCAGAGGCCCAGCACGGTGTACTGTCAGAATGCAGAAAATGTGTTCACACGCTTGTGTGCTGAAGTTCATTAATAGTTAACCATGTGAAAGAAGGATTGTTTAAGCAATTCCCAGTAAGGAAGAGTGGTGGGGGTGACTGCAGATGGAAAGCAACAGGAAAAATCTGAAATGAAGGGAAGACTGAAATAATCTATATCTGAAGGACTAGGTGAAAGATGAGACGCAACATATATGTCGGGAAGAGGGAAAAAAAATAAGAGTTCATAGTCTTGTTATATAAGAACCCAAATTTTAGGCCTAACTTTCTGTGGCTAGTGAATGATTACACTTTGTGTACATAAGATGCATTTGTAGATTGCACATGCCCAATTTTTGTGCAAATTTCTGTTTGTTGGCAGCTGTGAACTCTAACAGGGCTGTATTAATGACAGCATACAACTGCAAACATTGTCATGACTGTACATGAGGAAAATGCATCCTCGATACACACAAGACCATTATAAATGAACAGATCTCATTGTTCTACATCCTCTCGCTCTCTGGAGTCAAGACAGTGTGACCAGTGCTTCCTCTACCATCCTAAAATAATTCATAGACCACAGACTACTGATATCCATGTGTTTTATCCAAGTTGTTCCACCAAAGCTAATGCTGGCCAAACTATGCTGCCAGACAGAAGTGACCTGGATTTCCTGTGGGCACCCTAGGCCGTAATCACAACCTTACCCCCACTGATGATGAAACATGGAACGACTGACAGCACAGGATGTATGTATTTCACAGGCCAGCAGTGCTTTGGAGATATTATTATTATTATTACATCAAGTTTATATAGCGCCAAAGGGTTTGCTCAGCGCTGTACAATAGAGGGGGGGACAATACATGAAACAGTACAGCAACAACAAACAGCACACGAGGGGTTAGAGGGCCCTACTCTTTCAAGCTTACAGTCTAGGAGGGAGGGGATATATACAAAAGTGATCGTAGTGTGGGTTAAGAGCTTTTACATTTGGGGGGAGATTTACTGAAACTGGTGCACTCAGATTTTGGTGCATCTGTGCATGGTAGCCAATCAGCTTCTAACTTCAGCTTGTTCAATTAAGCTTTGACAATAAAATCTGGAAGCTGATTGGATTCTTTACAGAGCTGCACCAGATTTTGCACCTGCAGTTTTAGTAAATACCCCCTTTAGTCCCCAGTCACACCAATCTGACTTTAAAATTGTGCGACTTCCAGTGAAGTTGCTCGATTTCAAAGTTGGATGTCATTCGACTTGCGGTGCGACTTGCAAGACATCTGCAGCTTTCAAGACACAGATGTCTATGCAAGTCGCACCTGAAGTAGTGCATACACTACTTTAGAAATCAGTGCGGCTCTGACCAAGTCGGAATCGCATCGATATGACCACTTTAAGTGTGGACAACAGGGTAAGACTTGCCATGCGATTTGAAACTTGCATGGCATGGCAAATGGCATGGCAAGTCGCACCCGGTGTAAGTTGGCTCTTAATGTCTATGACCCAAACAAAATTGACAAGTGCCGCTCAAGGCTACACCAAATCTTCAACCAAATGTAGCAACCGCTTGGAGTGCAGACAAGGACAGAACTCGTCCCAGCTCTAGACATAGTTACATAGTTAGTCTGGCTGAAAAAAGACAAAAGTCTATCCAGTTCAACCATTAAAAAAAAAAAAAAAAAAAAAAAAAAAAAGTTCTAATCCTATACCCAAAGGAAAAGGGAAAAGTCCTAGAAGTCGCACATCTCTGCAAAACCCCATAAGAAGGTGTATGAAAGTCTCAGCCTGTGCTCCAACCAGGCCATGCCCCCAGCGCATTTTTCTTTGCCCACGGAGCTTAGTCATGGGAAACCCGCCCATGACTATGCTCCGTGGGTGGAGTGAAACACGGGGGGCATGGCCTGGTTGGAGCTTGGGCTGAGTCTGTCATAAACCTTTGTACGGGGTTTTGCAGAGATATGCGACTTCTAGAACATTTCCCCTTATTGTCTACCCACCCATAGACATTATATTGAGAACTCTGCAGTCTGATTTACTAAGCAGTGTCTGCAGTAGTTATGCAGCTTGCAGAAAATGGGGAAAGAAAGGAAAGATGGCTTTATCCTTAAATATCTTGTATAAGGTGGACTGATAGGTTAGTATTAGGTATAGGTGTATTCTCAGAGTGAACTACTGCACATATTCACTCTATTTTGTGCTATAGCCATCACTCTAGTTCCAAGGTAAACGTCTGTCTAGTAGGGCTGGTTCACAACAGATGCAGTCCAGTGCGTTTTTTTTTTCTGCATCAAAAATGCATGCAGTGTTTTCAATGTATTTCAATGGCCCTAGTTCACACCAGTTCCCGTTTCCCGGTAAAGAAAAAAAAGTAGAACATGTGGCATTTTTTCTGCACAGAACTGTACTGGCAAACAATAAAATGCTCTTAAAAAGCACTGGAACAGAGTGTGGTGTGAACTGTAAGCAAAAATGCATCTGGAATGCATCCGGAGTGTGCTTTTGTGGTGTGAACTGGCCATTAATGAGAGAGGGCCTTCTACATGTATAGTTCTGACTGTATGTTATGTTTAGCTCTTGGTGGAAATCATAAAGTCTTTCAGCTGTACAAGGTGTGGGTTGAGCCAGGTGTACTTTCAACACAGTGCATGCATGTACTATGTGTCCCAATACCAAGATGAGACTATACTCAAAGCTGATCTCCAAGGAGATATAAACATACCATGCAATCCAGTTCTGTAACCATTACAAGTCATTATATAGAACTAACATAAGTACTTGGACCTGTCTTGATAGTAGCCTCCTGTAATTCCACTGCACAGTGATATTTAGCCTGTGAGAGGGCAGTATTGTACAGTGCAGTCAGTTTATTATTGTCTACTGCTGTCCCTTCGCTGTTCTGTCACAAACGTGGGCGAGTCCTAAGCCACACTATATTGCTTAAAGTGTTACTAAACTCACAACAGTACAATCAGTCTGTATATGCAATAAAGCATGCTTGTTATACTCACTGTGGAACCTGAGGGGTTAATCCTCTGCATTGTGTAAAAAGGATGTTAGATCCCCTCTTCTCTGATCCTCGCCTTCTTCTACTGTCCCCAATCCATCTGCTGATAGAACAGAGCTTTGGGGGAAGCTGCACATGCTCAGTTTGGTGTGTATTGCTAGAGAGTTTTTTTTCTAGGGAGAATGTATTTGTTCAGCACAGGGCCAATCAGCGTTCTCCAAATAGAGGGTCAGGGGTCCTTCAGCCTCATAGGACAATCAGGGGAGAATGAAAACGCCTCCTACAAGCCTTAACCAGTGCTCTGCTGGATACTGATATAAGTCACAAGACTGCTCTAACTTCTGATGAGAAAAGGTATTTAGCAGTTTATATTTACTAAAATAATTGCATTTCAGTGTTCTGTGTACTGTTCTATACATATATAGGGAATGCAGGGTCCTGGATTTAGTAACACTTTAAAGCCCTACTCCAGGATGAAAAGAACTTGTGCACTGGGGCCTCCACACATTGCAAGGGTTAAATGCTCATTAAGTGTAGGGGGTAGTGGAACAGGCCATATGACTTACTTTATTCCTTGCTTCTCCCTGATATGGGTTGTCCCTTGGTATCATCACATTCAATGTAGGGCTGGTAGTCCTTCATTGCATGTGAGGAGGTAAACATGAGACCACATGCTGTATTGCATTAGAGAAGAGGCTTCAGGGGACCATTTGCACAGATAGAGAAAGCTGGGGTCGGAGCAAGGAATAAGGTTTGCATTATACCTTTTTCTTTATCCCCTAGAGTTAACGAGCATTTAAACCTTGCAGTTTGAGGGGGCCCAGAGTGGAGCTTTAAAGGGATTGCAAAGGTACAAATGAAGAAAAACAAACATGTTATACTTACCTGCAAACCATTACACAGAGCAACCCTGATCCTTCTCTTCTTGGGTCCCCTGCTGGCACTCCTGGCTCCTCCCCCCTGCTGAGTGCCCCCATAGCAAGCTGCTTGCGTACTTGCTCCTAAACCAGCCCTGTATGTTCATAAGACACACACAGAGTGGCTCGGCCCCACCCAGCCCTTCTCACTGGCTATGATTGACAGCAGCGGAAGCCAATGACTGCCACTGCTGTGTCTGAGCCAACGAAGAAGGAGAGACCTAGGAGAGCCACTGCTCTCGTTCACATTGCTGGATCGAGATTGGGCTAAGGTAAGTATTAGAAGGGGCTGGGGGGGGGGGGGGGGGGGCTTTGCACACTGAAGGTTTTTTACCTTCATGCATAGAATGCATAAAGGTAAAAAACCTTAAGCCTTTGGAACCACTTTAACTGCAGTGTGATATATAGGGAGGCCTAACACCTGTCTGCACTGTTTATTGAGGGCCTGGATCGCAATACTTGCTGAACGGAATTACAAATCCTTTGCTAGGTAAAACAGCACACATACACAATCTGTGTGTATTTAGCTGTATGCCTGGAGTTCAGCTTCAAACACACCTTGGACAAATCAAATGTGTTCATTTTGATATGTATGTATATTTACATATTCCAGCTGACAAATGTTTCCTCCCACAGGACCAAGAAAAGCAATATGTTGGGTTTGCAACATTACCTAATCAAGTCCACCGGAAATCGGTAAAAAAGGGATTTGACTTCACACTAATGGTTGCAGGTGAGCAAAACCTGTAACATATCTAACACTTCACATGCCATAAAACTTTTTTTTTTTAAATTTGGCCACCACAAGCGTCAGAATAGATGTCGCCATCCCATTGTAGTCCAACTAATTAAAGCACACCATACTGGTATCTTGATAAATGGGCCATGTTGGTGATTCATTCACATTTTGGATTCTATCGGCTACTGAAAATTCATGCACAAGTCTGCAGGTGACCTTTGCGACATTTGTCAGTATATATATTTGTAATGTACAGCGCTGAGCGAACCATTGGCGCTTTATAAATACTGTATAATAATAATATAGTATGGCTGTGTATTCATGATGCTCACACTTGAATGCCATTAAAGTGGAATTGCTCTGCATCTGAGCACCACAAACCAAAAATGCTATTTAATTCATTGTTAATATTTAAAGCATACTCCCTCCCTCCAAACTCCATGCTTTATTTTGCAGAGAAATCATTTTGAAAAACACCCCCCCTAGAATTTCTGGCCATTGCCATCTTGAGTAAGAGCAGATGATTCATGTAGCATTTACTTCCTGAAATCCATCTGCCCTTAGCACAGGTATTGGCTGAGCTGAGAACCCTCCCCTCCTGAAGACTCCTGAGATGTATGACATCATTTGCCTAGGCATGGAAACCAGGAAGTAACTGAAGAAATATAAAAACAAAGTTTAAAACAAGTGAATATGATATACTTTCCTGTCTATTTACTAATGCTAGCAGCATAAGGATTGAAAATAGTCCATGTTGATTGAGAGACTGACATTCCGCTTTAAGGAGAGAGGTAGTTTGCTAAATCTTGGGCTATGCAAGGACCTGATCACTTTGTTTTTTCTTGTCCTCAAAGGAGAGTCCGGCCTAGGAAAGTCTACCCTGGTCAACAGCCTGTTCCTGACTGATCTCTACAAGGACAGGAAGCTGCTGAATGCAGAAGGTAAAACCGCCTCCTTCCTCGTTGTTTCTCTGAGTTACTGTGTAATTATTACCTTCATACAATGTTTTATTGTTCAGAACTGTATATGAAATCTATTACTTTGCTATGATATCTCAGAGCACCACAAAGCTGATTTAAATTGATTTAAAGCTCAGTCCTTACAAGTTTCTTACCAAGATGATATTAAAACCCAAACCAAAATATAATATACTGTAGCTTACCAATCATTAGATGTGCTGCATTAGGTTTCATAGACTAGCAGATTTAGATACACCAACAAATTGAAGCCATTCCTCAGTTCACTCTCTTTAAACAGTTATAGCAGTTTTGTTCCTTTTGGGATAAAGGTTTTACAAAAATAAATAAAAGCGGGTCATTGAGAAATGGTTTGTCTCAACCCTGCAACTGCTACATATTGAGGACAGCTTGTTCTGTTGAAAAATAACAGACTTTGATCACCAGGTTGCAATAAAGGAAAGAAAGCCTTAAAAAGAAAACAAATGCAGCCACCACATGTAAGAATTGGTAAGCTGCAATGTAATAAATGTTTGCTTTTGGGTTTAATACCACTTTAATGGATAAGCTCGCCTTTTACACAAACATTAAATTCACATTTTTTGCAGGTAAAAAAAAAATGTGCATTTATTCTTTATTTATTTTCTCATAATCCTGTAGAGCATTGCACACACAATCAGTGGATCATAGGTACTAAGCCAAGTTCCTTCAGACACAGCTACAGCTTTCTGCCCATACCTCTGTACAGACTTTCTGTTTGAAAGCTGCAGGAAGTGTCAATGAACTATGTGAGCACACATCACTGCCCTTACAGTTCATGGAGAACTACAAACCATCTACCGCGTTGGTAGATGGTACTTGTAGTTCATTCATTCACAGATTCATGTGAATGAATGATGCAGCTGTGCAGGCAAGCTGTTTATGAAATCTGTCAGCTGGTGCAGGGAGAGAATCCCCTGCCCGCTGTTACAGGGAAGGAGGGATCAGAGGTGTGGGGAGGGAGGTTGCTGAACATGTTACATGCTAAATCCTAAATACGGTTGTAACAGCATGTTCAGAAAGGTGAACTTGGTACCAGAAAGGTAAAACTTGAATGTTTTAGCACAAGCAGCATTCTTTCCAGTTTTCTATAACTAAGGCACAAATTGGATACAGGGTTTGGTAATAAAATATGCAAATTATAGTAATATATGACACATTTTTCTATTCTGAATTTCAGCGCCATGTACAGATACACAGGGGAATATGGAGTTAGCCCTAATGCTGTCTTATGTGCAGCCTCACATGGTATTTATTTATCATAGATATTTACATACAATTTAACCAGTGTTTTACATACTGCACATTCATATCAGTCCCTGCTTTTAAGGAGCTTACAGTCTAAGGTTCCTGATTCACATGCATACCTAGACACTCACTAGGGCCAATTTGAACAGGAGCCAATCAACTCACCAGCATGTCTTTGGAGAGTGGGAGGAAAGCCACACACGGAGAACATGCAAACTCCACGTGGATAGTGTTCTCACCAGGATTTGTACCAGGAACCCGAGTGCTGCAAGACATGTTTATTACTAAGTGCTGCCCACAGTATTTCTGTACAGCCATCAGCCTACAGGGATGGAAAGTGCCCCTGTCACCCATTTTTGTTAAAAATATTTTTGTTGCCTTGTTCCCCACTTGTGTCAACGTGCCCATCTAATTAATGTTTGTTAGCTTCAGAATACACATATATATAAAAAGCTAAGCTAGAGCCCTCTAGGACATTCAGACAGACTGAAAATCATACTGATCAGTGTGCTCTGTGTGTTGTTTCAAACTACTACTACTAGCTATGTAACATGACGTCGTATAGAGAGTGGGCACTATACTAGGTATACCTGTTTATTAATGTAGATAGCCAAACAGTTAATCACAAAACCAAGCCCCACTGAAGAGACTGTATGATAGCTTTAGAAGACCATGGTAGGTTCTATTCCTTTCAGTTAAGAGATGGACAGAACTTTTACAGTGGGCATGGTATCACAAAAACTGTACCATATTCAGGTTTGATGTAGAATGTGCATGACACCAAGGGGGAGAGTTACTAAAATCGGTGCACACAGAATCTGGTACAGCTCTGCATAGTAACCAATCAGCTTCCACATTTTATTGTCAAATCTTAATTGAACAAGTTGAAGTTAGAAGCTGATTAGCTACTATGCATTGCTGCACCAGATTCTGTGTGCACCAGTTTTAGTATATCCATGATTTATGATCCGTGGATTGGTCCTGTCTTTTACCGGAGTTTCAGAATGGCAGGAGTGTAAAAGTGTGGACAATGTTTTCTTGGCACACATTAGGCTCATTAACACAAACCAGGATGATCAGAATGCCATAACAGTATTCTTACTGACTTTTTAGGATCCCTTTATGGGTTCTAGATAAGGGTGCCTAATAAAGTGGACACTACTGTAGTTGTATTAGACAATTAGAATGTGATGCCCTGTTCGTTTTTTTCCAAATAATTTTTTTTGGGAAGTTTTGAAATATAACAGTCAACAAATCTGATGGTAAAAGTGATGAAGAGGTTAAGTATAGCATCCTAGCTCTGTGGCTTATTCAGTAGGGGCAAGTGGTCTTGATGGATGAAGAGATGTTTGCTCTGTAACCGTAGTCACATTCAAAGGTGAGCTGAACGTTCAAGTTGTTCCTGCTATTTTGGTGCTTTTCCATGGTGACCTACCTAGGATGGGCTTGCCAAAGTGGAGTATCATATGGGCTATTTAAAAGCCAGTAGGAATGAAATAGTCTAGGACAGTGTTTCTCAACCTTTTTTCAGTCAAGACACCCTTTAAAATTATGGATAGTCCCAAGGCACCCTTTAAAATTATGGACAGTCTTGACGCACCCCATTCTAAAATGTGAAATCCTATTCTAATAGTTTTATATAACACAGCAACATCTACACATGTAGGACACCCAACATTAAAGGTGATTTATTCTCCTAGAGCAAATACACTTTTGCACACTGGTACTGACTATTATTCCAGTGTTTCTCTTCTCCCTCAATTTTTCTCCATCGCTGAGCTAATGTGACCACAGCACTTACGGAGACAGGCAGGGGAGGGTCAAACTAGGATCCTGTGCAGGCGGCTGATATCCTCCATATCAACTGATCATGTCATTGGTTGCCTGTGGCTAGAAGGTCATAATGGTGCACAATGAAAACCTGTGGCTTTGTGTAACTAAAAGGCAGGCTTGTTCCACCCCGCTGGCTTGTATACAAGTTTTGGGCAATTTTTAGACATTTTGCCAACGTACCCCTGAAGAAACCTCAAGGCACCCCAGAGTGCCTGGACACCCTGGTTGAGAGAGGCTGGTCTAGGGTGTATAATGCCTTATTTTTATATGAAAAATTAGAAAATTTAAATTCCACTGGACAGTCATGTAGCAATCAGCAGGGCCTTGTTCAGACTGCACCTTGGGTTTAATAGGTAAAATAATGAATTTGTTTTTTGGGCATTTTATGAACTGAATCTAAAATCACAATTTGAGAGCTGATTTATATAAAAACTCATAATTCAGGGAAACAATTGGGATATGTATAAATGTTCATCAATGTGCCATAGTGGAACATTCAACTCCCCTAACAGTGACTAAAACTCTCTGATATCCTGATTGCTTCCCCCTAGAAAGAATTAGTCAAACAGTGGAGATTGTAAAGCACACAGTGGACATTGAGGAGAAGGGCGTGAAGCTAAAGCTGACTATTGTAGATACTCCAGGCTTTGGGGATGCAGTGAATAACACCGAATGGTGAGTGCAGTCTTCAGACCAGTGTCTATAACTGGCTGCTTATGGTGATCTTGTGTAATGACTCTTCTATCTCCGCAGCTGGAAGCCCATTACTGACTACATAGACCAACAGTTTGAACAGTATTTCCGGGATGAGAGTGGACTGAATCGGAAAAACATCCAGGATAACAGAGTGCACTGCTGCTTGTACTTCATCTCACCTTTCGGACACGGGTAAAGAAGGAGCACTTTCTTCTACAGTTTATTCTGTATATAAGCTTTGCTGTGTACCAGTATGTTCCTCTTGTAAAAACAGTATATATTATACAGGCTCAGCTATGAGGATTGGGGGATATTATTACAATGTACAAATGTATCAATGGTAACTATAGTAAACTGCTTTCTCTAAGGTCCCTAAAGAGGACATGCAGCCACAATCTGAGGTTAGAAGAAAGGAGGTCTAACCTTAGATTGAGGTTCTGCAATGTTGCAGCAGAAATGGTGTGGAGCTTCCCTCCTGGGTAGTGGTAGTAGCTGCAAAGTCTTCTACAGAATGCAGAATATACAAGGCTATGGGAATTGTTAGAGAATAAAAATCACAAACATACACATAATTTGAACTGGATGGACTTGTGTCGTTTTTCCAATCTTATAAACAATACAGCTAGGCTAGTTAATTGTCTAAATCAGTGACAGAAAGAGGTTTATTTACTAAAGTTGGAGAGTAAAAAATTAGGCTAATTTCTGCATAGAAACCAATCAGCTTCCAGGTTTTATTGAAAAAGTTTAATTGAACAAGCTGAGGTTAGAAGCTGATTGGTTTCTATGAAAAACTGAGCCTGATTTTGCACTCTCCAGCTTTAGTAAATAAACCCCAATATGTTCTCATGAAAACATGAAATTAAACAGTTTATTCAAACCTAACTATGTAACTCATCAATTGGAGAATATATCCTTAACACTTTTACTGCCACTGATATATGTAGTGCATCGGTGGAAGCGAAATTTTACACATACATCCTGGTAACTGATGGTCGCCTCTCCCATTCATGCCCCCCACAATGTTTTCAGTGCGCCCATCTGCACAATGCTCCATGCGCCCATCTGCAAACTCGGGATCAGCATGGCAGGCGAATGTCTTTTCGCTGATCCTACCCTTCTTGTTATGACCCAGAAGCAACATGTAAAATGACACTTCCAGGTTCTGGTGTCACATATTGGTTGGGGAAGAAACTAATGGAGTGAAGAAACTAATCCATTATCTTCATTGGAGAGCAGGTGAAACAAAAGGGGTCTTTTAGACCTCTGATGTCTCATTAGATAGAACCTGCTTAACCACTTGCCGTCCGGCCGCTGTATATAAACGGCAGGATGGTGGCACTCCAGGGGCGGGTTGCCGTTCATAAACGGCACCCGCCATTATGGACTGTGCGCGCTCCCTTGGAGCGCGCAGCACCGCAATCTGGAGCCCACTGTACCATGTGACAAGCTGTGACCAATCACAGCTCACTCATTAGTTCTCAATGGCTGCAAGAATGCAGCCAGAGAGAAGGAGAAATGATTGCTTTTACAGCCTTTCTGGGTGTAAAAGCAATCAGTGTAAAAAAAAAAAAAAAATCTTCATCACCCCCCACAAGTAGTACAGTGTCACCATGGTGACACTGTACTGCTAGGGTGACAGTATGTAGAAAAAAAAAACCATAAATAATATAAAAAAAATAAAATAAAAATGCAAAAAAAATTTTTTTTTTAATTATAATTTTTGATTATAAACTAATTTGGGTTATTTTTTTTTTACTAAAAAGATAACTAAATAAATTTTGGCTAAGATTTATGATGAAATATTATTTATTTGCAAAATAAATTTTATAAGAAAAACACTTTTTTTCAAAATGTTTTGACTTTTTCATTTATATAGCAAAAAAAATAAAAATCCCAGTGGTGAATAAATACCCCCAAAATAAAGCTTTATCTGTCTCAAAAAAATTCTAAAAAATTCATATGGGTACAGTATTGCATGACCGCGCAATTGTCATTCAAAGTGTGATAGCGCTGAAAGCTGAAAATTGGACAGGAAGGGGGTAAAAGTGTCCGGACTGGATGTGGTTAAAAGTCACCCCCAAAAAAATGTTGAGCCCCCACCCCATATATACCTACGTGCTAACATACAGTGGGGAAAATAATTATTTGATCTCCTGCAGATTTTGTAAGTTTTCCCACTTACAAAGAAATGAAGGGTCTATAATTTTCTTTTTATCATATGTGTATTTTAAATGATAGAGACAGAATATCAACCAAAAATGCCAAAAAAACACATGATACAAATGTTATAAATTGAATTGCAGTTCAGTGAGTAAAATAAGTATTTGATCCCCAAGCAAAACATGACTTGGTACTTGGTGGAGAAACCCTTGTTGACAGCTGGTTACCAGGTTTGCACACATCTCAGGAGGGATTTTGGTCCACTCTTTTTTTACAGATCTTCTCTAAACCCTAAGGTTTCTTGGCTGTTGCTTGGCAGCTTGATGTTTCAGCACTCTCCATAAATTTTTTGTAGGATTAAGGTCTGGAGACTGGCTAGGCCACTCCATGACCTCAATGTGCTTCTTCTTAAGCCACTCTTTTGTTGCCTTGGCAGTATGTTTTGGGTCATTTTCATGCTGGAAGACCCGTCCACGACCCATCTTCAGTGTTCTGGCTAAGGGAAGAAGGTTCTCATCCAAGATTTTACAATACATGGCCCCGTCCATTGGCCTCTCAATGCGGCAAAGTCGGCCTTTACATTTAGCAGAGAAATTGCCCCAAAGCATAATGTTTCCACCTTCGTGCTTGACTGTAGAGATGCTGTTCTTAGGGTCATAGTCAGCATTTTTCTTCCTCCAAGAATGGCAAGTCGAGTTAATGCCAAAGAGGTCAATTTTAGTTTCATCTGACCACAGCACTTTCTCCCAATCCTTCTCTGAATCATTTAGATGTTCATTGGCAAACTTCAGATGGGCCTGTACATGTGCCTTCTTGAGGAGGGGGACCTTGCGGGTACTGCAGGATTTCAATCCATGGTGGCGTATTGTTACCAATGGTTTGGTGACTGTGGTCCCAACTGCCTTAAGATCATTCTCAAGCTCCTCCCTGTAGTTCTGGGCTGTTCCCTTACTTTTCTCATAATCATCCTTAAACCATGAGGTGCATAGAGCTGCAAACCGAGGGCGAATAATAGTTATTTTGTATTTCTTCCATTTGTGAATAATCACTCCAATAGTTGTCTCCTGCTCACCAAGCTTCTTTCTGATGGTCTTGTAGCCCATTCCAATTTTGTGCAGGTCCACAATCTTGTCCCTGATGTCTTATGACAGCTCTTTCGTCTTGCCTATGGTGGTGCCCAAGAAAGAGATTCTGTGGACAGGTGTGTTTTATATACACTTAATGAGCTGTCATTCTGAGCACCTTCGTAAATTGACAGGACTAATCTGTGTACCACATGAGAACATAGCTAGTCTGTGGGAGCCAGAATTATTGTTGGTTGGTGGGGGATCAAATACTTATTTTACTCACTGAACTGCAACTCAATTTATAACATTTGTATCATGTGTTTATTCTGGATTTTTGGTTGATATTCTGTCTCTCTCATTTAAAATACATCTATAATAAAAATGATGGACCTTGCATTTCCTTGTAAGTGAACAAACTTATAAAATCTGTAGGGATCAAATAATTATTTTGCCCACTGTAAAATGCACTGTCAGGGATGCCTATACATGAAAACATTAATTGCACTACAAGTTACATATTGTCACGTTTGCAATTCTAGGCATGAATAATTCTTATTCATGAGTTAACTCTAAACTGATGACCTGTAGGGGCTGTTTACAGCTGCATAAGAGGCTTAAAGAGCTGGGGGTGGAGACCTGGGGAGGGGGGTCGTGTCAGTAAGAGGCAGAGAAAGACCAGTACACTGATCTTCCCAGTGAAGAGCCATGCAGGGAGTGTGTCGGCACATTGAATACAAAGAAGAAAACTGAGATTAGGCATTGGATTTAAAGTTTGACTAAACCCACAACTGTAAAATCGGTCTGTATATGCAGTATAGCATGCTTGTCATACTCACTGTGGAACCTAAGTGGATAATCCTCTGCACTGTGTAAAAAATCTGTTTGATCCTGATTTCCCTGATCCTCCCCTTTTTCCAGTGTCCCCCTTTTATCTTCTGATAAGATTTATCTGTGGAGACACTCTGCACATGCTCAGTTTGGTGTGTATTGCTAGAGGTTTTTTTTTTCTTGGGAGAGTGCATGTGATCAGCACAGGGCCAATAAGCACTGTCCTGACAGAGGTCAGGGGTCCTGCATCCTCCTAGAGCAGAAAGAAAACTCCTCCTACAAGCTTTAACCAGTGCTCGGCTGGACACTGATAGAAGTCACAAGACTGCTATATACTGCTGATGAGAAAAGGGATTTAGCAATTTATATTTACTAAAATAATTGCTTTTTTCCTTGTAGTGTGTACTGTGGGAAACCGGATAGAGTGAATGCAGGGTCTTGGGTTTAGTAACACTTTAAGATCTCAATAAATACTGTAAACAGAAATAAAGTACTAGAGCTGGGTGTTAACTGTTTTTTCTTTGCCTGTTTCTGTGTGTTTCAGGCTGCGGCCAGTGGATGTGGCATTTATGAAAGCTCTACATGAGAAGGTTAACATTGTTCCTTTGATTGCCAAGGCTGACTGCTTGGTACCAAGTGAAATTCGCAAGCTGAAAGACCGGGTAAGTCCAACAATTTAATAGCTATGCATGTAGACTGCATCTAGACAATTTAATAGTTATGCATCCAGACCAACACACAGGACTCCCTGAGTAAACAGAACAGTGATTTGGCTGTTTCTTCTCCCAGAAAGGCAGGGAGAAAAACCAGCCAGATTTGTGAGTAAAAGCAGCATACATTACACACATTACGTTTGTTAGACACACAGTTAACCCCTTCCCAGCCAGTATCATTAGTACAGTGTACAGTATTATCACTGATCACTGTATTAGTGTCACTAGCAACATGAGTGTCAGTTAGTGTCCCTCTCAGCCAGTGTCAGTTAGTGCCAGATTGCCCGCAACGCTATCACTGGCACACTATAAGTCGCTAATCACCGCCATTATATCAGTATTCTGATCACGGTCAGAACTATACTAGAGTCCCCAGTGATATAGTATCCCCAAAAACACAGTTTGGTTTTTACCATAGACATCAAGCAGAATACATTTTGGCCTAAAATTATGAAGAAATTTGATTTTATTGGATATGTTTTATAACAGAAAGTAGAAAATATCGGGTGGGAGGGGTGTTCGGTCTTTTTTTTGTTTATATTGCAAAAATATACACCCAGTGGTGATCAGATACCACCAAAAGAAAGCACTATTTGTGTTAAACAATTTTTAAAAAAATGCATTTGAGTACAGTGTTGCATGACCACGCAATTGCCACTTAATGTGGTTGTAAACCCAATATAAAAAATTTTACTTTTTGCAATAAATTAATACATTTTAATGTAAACATACATACAGCTGTGAGTGTACCTCAAAAAATTCTCCCTTAGCTTGTCTCAGCCCTTCAAAAACCCCTGGTCTGTGAGCGTGGCTTACGACCAGAGAAAAGTAGGTGGAGATGTGATGTCACACAATCCCTCAGTTATACACAACCTCCAGCCTTGGCTCAAGAACGTGCACAACTAGCTGACATTTGTGCCTGCGAGCATGTCTCCTGAGTGCATTCAGGAGAATACACAGGTGCCAGTGACTATGTCAGCTCTGCTTACAGCACAGGATCTCTGCTAATCAGGAGAAAGCTGGAAGGAAGGGGTTAATGTTAAAAATCCTAGCAATTTTGCAGCTTAAAGTGGCAATGTGGACCAAGAAACATTATCATGTAAACTCTGTAAACAGCAATTCACAAGCTAGGTGCTGTGAATAGAGCAGGACAATAATCAACTGTCAGCAGATTTACGTAGATAACTACAGCATTACTGAAGTGATGCCGATCTATGTTTTAAATCACTGGTGCTGAGTTCTCAATCTTGTGACGGCAGAGACCAGCAGGGAGAAGACACCCACTCCCCCACCGCTTTACAGTGTATTACATGGGGGCTCATGCTGGTCTCGTCTTCAGCACAGCCTGTCACTCACAGGAGAAGGGGAGTGGCGACACTATTTTTCTGCTTGTGTCGGATTTATTCTGTTCAGAAGAGCAGGGGGGATTTCTGGAGAAGGGGATTGCTTCAAGATACCAAACTAAGCTTGAATGCTTAGTAAAGGTAAAATCTATTCAGCTGTAGGATTAGATTGATTTGTGGTTTTTAGGTTTACAACCACTTTAAAGTAGTGCAGTGCTGAATAGCAAAAACAAAATGCCCTGGCCATGAAGGGGGTAAAATCTTCCAGAGGTCAAATGGTATACCATAATTTGTGAGCAGACACTTTAAGAGTCAAGGCAGCAATATAGTTTTGCTGGTAAAGAGATCAAATGTATGCATGTGACGAGTGATTGATCTGATGAGATTTTTCTACGAGCTTCCTTTGTCAGAAACATTTTCTGCATTTCATGGTAAGTCTTTCTGTACTTTGACAGGTCCGAGAGGAAATTGAAAAGTTTGGAATAAAAGTATATCAATTCCCAGAATGTGACTCAGATGAAGATGATGAATTTAAACAGCAGGACAAGGAACTGAAGGTAAGACAAGACACAAGGACTGAGTGTGCAATCTTCTTTGCATGCTGCACTGCTGAGCCCAAGGAGGATGCTAACACTTACGGTTTTAAAATATGGCGAGTGAAAGCGGTCATTCAAGGTCCACTTATTAGACTACTGCCTCTCTCCCTTTAAAAATTGCTGAGGTTTAAAATGGCAAAAATGTATCTGTAACAAAAAAGTTTTCTTAGTAATTACTTGTTTTAACCTCATCTTCAGCATTGCAGGGTGTGACGTCATTGTGCTTCTGGCAAGATTCCTGGGGAATAATGAGTGCCCAAATCTCATGAGAACACACTCTTGCAGAGTGTAAGAGCGTCTTCGTATGAGGTATGGGATTGTCATAATTTCTGGGATCTTTCCAGAAGGATCATGATATCACTCTTGTCTAGGCACCGTAGGCAAAAGATGTGTAAGTGTATATTTTAACTTTTTTCCTTATAGGAAACATTTTGCTCTTATAACCTTCAGAACTGAACCTCACATTTTTTCTGCAAAGTCTTCTTCTAATATACTGTACTGTACTGGCCGCAATAAAAGTTGAAGTATTTTTCTTGTGTCTGTAGTCCTAAATGTTAAACTTCCTGTGTTTTTTACCTAAGGAAAGTGCTCCATTTGCTGTAATTGGAAGCAATACAGTGGTAGAGGCCAAAGGTCAGAGGGTACGAGGTCGTCTCTATCCATGGGGCATTGTGGAAGGTAAGTTTTCAGTTGCGATGTTTACCTAAGTCAAATTATTCAAGTAAGTCAACTGGAACATCCAAGAAGCAGGACAGTTGTGCATTTTGTAGTATTTGTTTATTTATTAAACTTATCAGTACAAGATATTAGTGTTTTGTCTGTAATTATGTGCAAGTCTGAAAAATACAAAATATTGTTTTCCTTTATTAATATTTGTAAATATAACATATTGTGTTTGAACATGTTGTATTTACATTTTCAGGCAACAGATGGAGCACTAGGATTCTTGTTCCCTGGTTAATTTTCAGTGCATTACCTGTTTACAGTGCTCAATAACTTGAACTTGTGTTTATGCACACAGACAGTTGAATGAGTTAAGAGGAGAGATGAGTAGAGACTATACCCATCTCTTCCCCTCCCTGCCTGCTCTGCCTGCTCTATTCATGCTGGGCCATAAGGATATTCAGTCCCTCACTTTCAGTTCTGATGACTTTGGTGATCAGGACATTTAGAGCGAGTGATTCAGGGGCACAGACAGCAATAAAAACCTGACAGTGGTTCTAACCCCTCACTACTCTATTCAAAACTTAAGATGGCTTTTAATGTATGTGTCATGGGTTCCTACAACTAGTGTAACTATCTTAATCATCCATTCCATCCATTCCAACCAACACACCTTTTCCCAAGGATGCTCAGCCAGGGAGTGGCAGCTTGTTTCAGCAATGACAGCATTGATTGGTTGGTAAGGTCCATCCTACTAGATAAATGGTTCATGTATTCTGAACACGTTTTGTTAAAATACTTTCAGTAAAGGCAAAAAATATAATACATCAGTTAAAAAAAACTATAACCTCTTAAGAAAACCAAAATATAACTGGCCCAAATATACAATAGTTTCCCTTACCTGGTGGGAAAATGTGGCACATATGATTTATTTGTATGTTTTGCACACCTGGTCACAAGGGGTAGCCTTTTTCTGCCTATATAGTACCATTTGCAGAGGTGGCCTGCAATTAGATTGACCATATACAGTGAGGTTGATTTACTAAAACTTGAGAGTGCAAAACCTGGTGCAGCTCTGCAGAGAAACCAGTCAGATTCCAGGTTTCATTATTAAAGCTTAATTGAACAGATTGAACCAAGAAACTGGCTAGATTCTAAATTAAATTAAATCGATCCGCACTGTTCTAAAATCTTCGTTTTATTAAATCGACCACAGTAAAAACATCACAGGTACAAGGGTTGATGCGTTTCAGCTTAACAAGCCTTAGTCATAACCCATACCAGATTCTAAGTTCTCCAGTTTTAGAGCTGGTTCACATATATATGGATTGGATGTGGTTTGCACCACGTCCAATTCGCATGACATGTGAAATAACATTGCTTTCTTGGTGCCTGTTCACATAGGTCCGGTGCACTGGCAGTGTGGATTCAGTGTGGACTAAAAAAGAGTCATGTCTGATTTCTGAGCAGTGCGGTCCCGGTTCTGGTGCGGATTACAGGCTCATTGACTTCTATGGGAAACACGATTTCAGGCCGGTTTTCTCAACTGATCCTGATGTAAACCTGACTTGAACTGCTGAACAATTACTGTGTCAATTAGCTGTGAAAGCGAAGCTTCTCACATGTGTGAATCCACACTTAGTAACTCTTCCCCAGTGTCTTTCATTAGAAGGATTTCCTCTGCCAAACATATATTTGGATTTCTCAGTTCAGTATGCTTCAAACATTTCTGTTCTGCATCCTTTAAACCTTTATGATATGCTGACACTTGCAGATTCAAGTGGCTAAGGGGTAGGCAGAAGAGGCAGCTGCCTTGGACATTTGAACAGGAGGGGAGGGGGGGTGGAAAACCGACAGAACCTGAAATATATCCTGCTGAACCTAGTTCACATCTCATGGATAGGTGGTGCACTTTGGCTTTGCCCTTTTTGCCTTGGGTTTTGAAGGACCTTGTCCTATCACAGACAGAAAGAGAAACTTCCTCTATGGGGACACAACTAAAAACAAATCAAAATGGTTGGCTGGAATTGTTTTGTAACTATCTTTGGTTAATTTGAGTAGAATAAATACATGTCTTTATAAAACATCTGGAGGGCTCGTGCACACAGATCTGAATGTGGCTCTATTAAAAGCTAATGTGTTCATGTACATAGAGACATTTAGCTCTGTAACATCCCGTGTGGAAATACGCTTGTAAATGTGTGAGCGCCTAAATGTATTCTAGTGGATGAAGTATACACTTCTGGGCACCGTATTAGTAGTTTACGTGACATTAGATTTTTTCCGTTAGAAGTTTTTGCTAGCTTCTGGCAGCAAGACGCCATAGGTTTGAGTATTTTATTTATTCCTTATGTCCGTGAGCTCTTAGTGTCCTTTTGATGTAGCTTAAATTCTAGTAGGAACACTAGTATGGATGACTGCATTCCACAGTCATGCTTTATACCTGCAATTTCTTCTGGATTTTGGTAGACTCTGTTGTTCCATTTAGCGTCAAACACACTGCAATACTTGCTTGATTATGTCAATATAAGTGGGTCGTGATCCTTTTTGCTTCTATTCACACATGTTCCCTTCTGTCTGCAGTGGAAAACCAGGCACACTGTGACTTTGTGAAGTTGCGAAACATGCTGATTCGGACACACATGCACGATCTTAAAGATGTTACATGTGATGTGCATTATGAAAACTACAGAGCACAGTGCATACAGCAGATGACTAGGTATGTCATATATTTATTACATGTGCTGTATGAAGGGAGTCGGGGGTGGTGGATTGTTACATGTGCTGTGTGGTGGAAATGGTGGGTGTTGTCACATGTGTTGCATGCTGGGAGTTGGGGGTTTGTTACATGTTCTGTGTAGTGGTACTGGGGAGGAGCAGGTTGTTACATGTGCTGTTGGTGAAGGGGCGGGGGTGTTTGGAGGCATTACATGTCCTGTGTGGAGGGGTCAGAGGGGGTTGTTACATGTGCTGTGTGTTGGGAGCAGAGTGAGGTTGGTGGATTTATTACGTGTTCTTTGTGGTGAGTTGGGAAGGAGGGAGGGTTATTTTCAGATGTGCTGTGTGGTGGGAACAGGGTGAAGGCGGTAGATTTTATTACATGTTCTTTGTGGTGGATTGGGGGTGGGGGTTATTGTTACATGTCCTGTGTGGTTGACATGTGCTGTGTGGTTAGAGAGGGTGTTGTCACATGTGCTGTGTGGTTGGAGGGGGGTTGTTGCCACATGTGCTGTATGCTTGGAGGGGGGTTGTTGTCACATGTGCCGTGTGGTTGGAGGGGGGTTGTTGCCACATGTGCTGTATGCTTGGAGGGGTGTTGTTGTCACATGTGCTGTGTGCTTGGAGGGGGTTTGTTGTCACTTGTGCTGTGTGGTTGGAGCGGGTTTTTTTGCCACATGTGCTGTATGGTTGGTGGGGGTTGTTGTCACATGTGCTGTGTGCTTGGAGGGGGGGTTGTTTTCACATGTGCTGTGTGGTTAGAGTGGGTTTTATTGTCACATGTGCTGTGTGCTGAGAGAGGAATGTTGTCACATGTTCTTTGTTGCTATAGAAGGGTTGTTGTAACGTGTTGTGTGGTTGGAGGGAGATTGTTGTCACATGTGCTGTGTGGTTAGAGAGGGATGTTGTCACATGTGCTGTGTGGTTAAAGAGTGATGTTGTCACATGTGCTTGTTGCTATTGGGGGGATGTTGTGTGGTTGGAGGGGGGTTGTTGTCGCACATGCTGTGTGGTTAGAGAGGGTTGTTGTGAAATGTGCTTTGTTGCTATAGGGGGGTTGGTGTGACGTGCTGTGTGGTTGGAGAGAGGTGTTGTCACATGTGCTGTGTGGTTGAAGGGGGGTTGTTGTCACATGTGCTGTGTGGTTAGAGAGGGATTTATTGTCATATGTTCTTTAGTTGTGCTCAAACATTTGTCACAGTTCTGGTAGAAATCATGACAGTCTTGACATTGATATTGAAAATATGGCTGAATCTGAAAAAATCATTTTTTATTTAACCACTTGAGCTCCTGAGGATTTACCCCCCTTAATGACCAGGCCTCTTTTTGCTACTCGGCGCTGCACTAATTCAACTGATAATTGCGCGGGTCATGCAACGCTGCACCCAAACGAAATTTACGTCCTTTTTTTCACACAAATAGAGCTTTCTTTTGGTGTAATTTGATCACCTGTGCGCTTTTTATTTTTCACGCTATAAACAAAAAAAGGCCAAAAATTTTGAAGAAAAACAATATTTTTTATTTTCAGCTATAAAAAATATATAGTAAACTCAAAGTTGGTTATAAATTTAGGCCAAAATGTATTCTGCTACATGTTTTTGGTAAAGAAAATCCCAATAAGTGTATATTGATTGCTTTGTGTGGAAGTTATAGCGTCTACAAACTATGGTATAAATACTGCAATTTACGCCATTTTTCTGCTATACAGCGCTGCGCTAGTTTAACGGACAATTGTGCGGTCATGCAATATGGTACATAAATGAAATTTACATCCTTTTTTTCCCCACAAATTGAGCTTTCTTTCGGTGGTATTTGATCGCCTGTGCGGTTTTTTTATTTTTTTGCGCTATAAAAAAAAAAGGCTGACAATTTTGAGGGAAAAAAAAACAATATTTTGGACTTTTTGCTATAAAATATGTCCAGTAAAAAAAAAAATGCAAAAATCAAATTTAGTCATAAATTTCTGCCAAAATGCATTCTGCAACATGTCTTTGCTAAAAAAAAAAAAAATTTACCCAATATGTGTAAATTAATTGGTTTACGTGAAAGTTATAGCGTTTACAAATGGTGGGAAAGATACTCGGATTTTTTGGTTTTTTTTAATACTAATAATGGCAGCGATCAGCGAATTATGGTGGCGATCAGGGACTTATGGCAGCGACCAGCGACTTATGGCGGGACTGCGGCGGACATTCTGACATTGGGGGGTACTGACTTGGGGTCACTGACATCCCCAAAAACACTAATACAGTGATCAGTGCAAAAAAAAAAACTGACACTGTACTAATGGCAATGGGGAGGAAGGGGTTAACTTTATTTTGAAGGGAAGGGTTATAGGAGTGAGGGGAGTGTTTTACTAGGGGCCGGGGGTGTGTGCTGGGGGCGGGACAAGGCTGATCGAGAAAGAGAAACTGTTCTTTCTCGATCAGCTCATCCTCAAGCTGACAGGGAAGTGACAGGCAGCACAGCTACTGCAGCTGTGCTGTCTGTCACTGTTTACCGCTGATCGCCGGGACATAGCCGCTAAGGAGCGGCTGTGACCCGGCGACTGACTTCTGCGGCGGTGATCCGCAGGAAAAATAGGGCGGCGGCGCGCCTCGCGCGCGCCCCCTATTTGTTTACAAAACACACGTTTTAAAAACGTGGTTTTGCCTGCGAGTGCCGCCCTGCCGCCGTATATGTACAGTGGCTGGGCGGCATGCGGTTAAGGATAGTGAACATATGAAACTGATTATTATCACATAGTTGTTTTACTCCTTTTAAAATCATAATGATAACAGAAATCACCCAAATGGCCATGATCAAAAGTTTATATACCCTGGAATGTTTGGCCTTGGTACAGACACATAAGGTGACGCACACAGGTTAAAATGCCAATTAAATTTCCCACATCTGTGGCTTTTTAAATTGCAGTTAGTGTCTGTGTATAAATAGTCAGTTAGTTTGTTAGCTCTCATGTGGATGCACTGAGCAGGCTAGATACTGAGCCATGGAGAGCAGAAAAAAACCGTTAAAAGACATCCAAAGCATTGAATAGGCCAGTCAGTACTGTTCAATCATTTATTAAGAAGTGGAAAATTCGGGGATATCCTGATACCAAGCCAAGGTCAGGTAGACCAAGAAAGATTGCAGCTACAACTGCCAGAAGAATTGTTCCGGATACGAAGAAAAACCCACAGGTAACCTCAGGAGGAATACAGGCTGCTTCGGAAAAAGACGGTGTGGTTGTTTCAAGGGGCACAATACGACAATACTTGAATGAAAATGAGCTGTATGGCCAAGTTGCCAGAATAAACCCTTTACTGCTCCAATGCCACTAAAAATCCCACTTACAATATGCCTGACAACACCTTGACATGCGTCACAGGTTCTGGAACACTATAATCTGGAGTGACAAGACCAAAACTAAGCATTATGGTCACAACCATAAGCACTATGTTTGGAGAGAGGTCAGCAAGGTCTATAATGACAAGAATACTATGCCCACTGTGAAGCATGGTGGTGGCTCACTGATGCTTTTTGGGGGGTGGGTGAGCTCAAAAGGCACGGGAAATCCTTTGAAAGTTGATGACAGAATGAATGCAGCATGTTATCAGAAAAAATACTGATAGACCATTTGCATTCTTCTGCATGAAAGCTGCGCATGGGACGCTCAGCACTACAATGACCCTAAGCTCAAGGCGAAGTTGACCATCCAGTGGTTCACGCAGAAAAAGGTGAAGGTTCTGGAGTGGCCATTACAGTCTCCTGACCTTAATATCATCAAGCCACTCTGGGGAGATCTGAAACATGCAGATCATGCAAGACGACCACAGACATTGCATGACCTCAAGGCATTTTGCCAAGACGAATGGGCAGCTATACCACCTGCAAGAATTTGGAGCCTCATAGACAACTATTACAAAAGACTGCACGCTGTCATTGATGCTAAAGGGGGAAATACGCAGTGATAAGAACTAAGGGTATGCAGACTTGATCAGAGGTCATTTTATTTGTTTACATGTGGCCATGTTTTGTTTTTATGATTGTGCTATTCTGTTATGACCTACAGTTGAATATGAATCCCATAAGAAATAAAAGAAATTTGCTTTGCTTGCTCACTCTGTTTTCTTTAAAAAATGGTACATACTGTACCAATTCTCCAAGGTTATGCAAACTTTTGAGCACAACTGTATGTGGTAGGAGGATGATAACAAACACTTGACAGCCGTCACTGAGCAACAATGGAGCAACTGCTGTCAAGTTTTCACTCCAAGAGGAGAGTGTTCAGTCCTGGTTTTCGTATAGATCTGTGAAATCACTGTTTTCTCTGACTTCATCCAAATTTTAGCTGGAGTTGAGCAGTAATGAAGTGGGTGGTGTGTTTATATGATTTTTTTTTGCAATAAAAAAATTCTTTTGGGCTCTTTTCTGGTGTTGGTCTGGTGCTTCTTTCTGTATTTCTATGGTTTGAACTAGTGCTGGGTGCCCATGGAGGGAAACATTGTTTTGTGGGAGTCTTGTCAGAGCTATTGAGCTTGTTTTGACATCTTCCTTCTACTGACTACATGTTCAAGTCTAAAAGTTCCCAGCACTTCTTTGAGTATTTTGTTTTGAAATTCATGTGACTGATTTACTACTAGTGAATGTTTGGTGAACAAGCCCCTTAATATATTTTCAGAAATATATTGGAACCTTCATAATTGAAAAGCAGTTTTCATTAAATTCTTGGATCTCAGGCGGATTGCTGGGACTTATGGACAGAGTCCTGTAGTCAGCCAATCATATAGCATCTATGTCACCTTAGATGTTCCCAGATTCATGTAGACCAGGACCAGTCTGATTCCACTCTGCTTAATTTGAACCTAGTGAAATGGAATGGATGCATGATCTTCCAGAAGTAGTTTCCTTTTAAGTTACAATCTTCCTTGACCAAACTAAAGAAGACAAAAATTTCAAATCTCAAGGAGGTAACAATAGTTATAATGTAAAAAAAAATGCATGAAGCCAGCTTTTATTATGGTCGTTTATATTTTGCAAACGTCTAATATTGTTGACCTATAGTACAAATAATTCAGTAGTTCTTAATTTCAGTATTACATTTTGTCTTTTCAAGGCATGAAGAAACGCAGAGCACTGCAGAAAGGTTAGGGGTTAAATCACG